TCCCTCTAAGGAAGGTACTCTGTGGGTAATACAGACTCTCTGTGTGTGACTCTCCATTGAGCCTTCTTTCATTTATTCATTCCAGCATCTTTCCAGCCACACTGGCAAACACAGAAGCTAAATCCTTATTGAAACTCTTAAGACATTCATTATTGTCCTTTAATCAAAATAAAACAAAAATCTAGTGTAGCAGCTTTGTTCTCATGAATTCAATTAAAAAACATTATTGTTTATTACACAATGATAAAAACACACTCACACTTCTTAAAGCCTGGTTTCAGTCTCTGCACTCCACCGTGGTCCACCCTGGAGGAAGAAACAAAGTGAGCTTTATCAAAGGTAATAAATCCGTTTTGCTAAAATTAAGGCCCTTAAAAAGTATTTAAAGTTTTAAGGCGATTAAGACTTTTAAATACCTTTTTTCACAAGGTGCTACATTTTGTAGACATTTTGTGGGCCCTTGAGTAGCCCGTTGTACAAAAGCAAGAGAGAGCTGCGTCATCTGCAGCTGAGGCAGTAAGGCAGAAGACAACAGGCAGAAGACAAGCAGCGTTTGGGTTTAACTAGCTGGCTTTTTAGCCTTTTGTTGAAACATGTTCAACTTTTCATAAAGTCGATGTGCTCATCAGCGTCACTTTTTGTGAGCAGATCAATCACAGCCTGGATAGAGCAGCACATTAAAAAAGGTTTGATGTGCTACAACAAAATTTCCAAATGTTGAATTGTTGTTATGCAAATGATAATGACTATTCAACAAGTTAGTACTTTATTTAACAAAAAATTTATTAATTATTCTTGCACAAGGAACTGATTAAAGAAAACAACCCACAAACATGAAACTTCTGTAACTGAATTAATATTATAATAGTGGTAAGTTATAGACTACACTTTTATATAAAATTACTACACTATATGAAATTATTATGATATATCATATCAGAATCAGAAAGAGCTTTATTGCCAAGTAGTTTTTACACATACGAGGAATTTGCTTTGGTGATTATTTATATTATATATATATATATATATATATATATAATATTAATGTTAGAATATCCTCCAGGTTGTGGGTAGAGCTTCCCCAAAGCAACACTTTCCCCTTGTTCTATTTTAAATCTATTTTACTAAAGTTATAGTTGTTGTAGTATTGTTTTCCACTCTCTTCATCTCAGCTCCTCTCTCCCTTGGCTCTGCTCCTTTTCTAGAGGACACCAGCCCATCTCGCCAGCGCATGCTAACTAACTCCTTTTAACTTGGCACCGTTACACAGATCGCATAAATACAAATATACTTTGATTTGGCCTTAAACAACCACACATATGCAGGAAAAAAACCCTGTGGCTGACTTAACCGGTTACAACTCAAAGTGGAGCTGCGGTATTAAAATATATTTAAAAGGTCTGGAAAAAGGTCTTAAAAGGTCCTGAATTTTACTTCAGGATTCCTGTATATACCCTATTGATACACCGTTACTCCTATCCACCAATAATACATGAACCAGAGCTCCTCGTTTAGTCAGAGTAAGAGCTGCTGCTGACTGCCCATTTTTCCATACCTGAGAATGTCCAGTCTCCAGTTTGGATCTTCCAGTCCAGCAGACAGCAGCTTCACTCCTGAGTGTCCAGGATGATTGTAGCTCAGGTCCAATTCTCTCAGATTGGAAGGGTTGGAGCTCAGAGCTGAGGCCAGTGAAGCACAGCCTTCTTCTGTGACCTGACAACCCGACAGACTAAGCACACACACACAAACAGAGAGAGTTGCTGAGAGGAGGGCTCTAACTGTTGTCTGTACTTCTTCAACGAACAGAAGGTCAGAGTATCTGGCCTTCTTGAGGTTACTCGTTCGGGTCCTGGAGAGGACACCACATGGAGATTTCATAATTCAGATATGCAACATACTCGGTGGCGCTCGATGAAATCACAGATAAAACTGACAAGACTATGCTCACAGTTTTCATCAGGGGTATTAATGAGAAGTTCGAAGTGACTGGATTACCATGATGCCGACTGGAAGGCATTACTACTGACGGATCCCCATCTATGTCAGGCAGAAAAAACAGACCGATCGCGCTGGTACAAAGAACTTTAGAAGAGGAAAATGCAGGTGCAGCAGTTGTGTTGCACTGCATTATACACAGTCACTGTGCAGCAAGTCCTTGAAATATGAACATGTCACGTTGTCTGTTGCAAATGGAACGTTTTGACTTGCAGTGTAACAGTGAACTAAAATCCACATTCAGGGAGGCACAGGGAAAAGCAGATCTTATTGGACCATTTCTGAGACTTCACTTATCTCCATCCTTCCTAGAACTGTCCAAAGTGTTCAGTCAGTTAATGTACTTTTTTGGAAGCAAATATCTGTGTGAGATTGTTTTCTCTTCTGCTTTCGTGGAGTACTTTAATGCTATTGTGGCCCTCCTATGAGATGTACCAAAGTGGCCCCTGAATGATTTGAGTTTGAGACCCCTGATTTAAAGGAACTGACGACTGATCTGTTTTTCTATCAGACTTCTGTCTTGGATAATTGCGTAAAGAGAGAAGCAGAATTGTCAACTGATCAACAACTGGTGGTAAGTCCAAGGATAGTGGAGGCTTCTGAAAGTTCAATTAAACCCATTCGGGCAGGCACCTCTGGCTGAGGCAACATGTCATAAATTTTTGACCTCTGAGGGCATAGAGTCCAAGTTGGCCATGTTCAAAGCTGTTACTGTGGTGAAGGCTGTGCAAAGCTGTGGTTTAGTCAGTGGGGGCCACGCTGCCAGGCTCTTGAATGAGACTTGCTTGGTCCAGGAGTCTGCTGAAGCAGCAAACAGCTCCTGGGAGGCCAGAGGGGCTCGCAGCTTTAGTAACCACCAAAACGTGACAACGTGTGTCAACAGTTCTGGGACGCAAGGTGGTAGGACTTTTCATGGAATTTTCATGGCAGTGGGGGAAACTGTGGACCTTCAATGGAGACACTGTGGAAGGAACATTTTTAAGGAAGTCTTAAGCAAGAGAAGGCAGCATTGGAGAGCTCAGTGGAAACCTAACCTATTTATTTGGTGGAGGTCACTGAGCTAGTTAAAAAGCTCCCCATTTGGCAAGGCACTAGGCAGATGAGGTTTACCTTGACATATCCGGGGATCTGGGGACTAGGTGGTTAAATAATGGGTATCACACAGCTTATGCTGGAAAGGAGACTAGAGTCAAATTTCCAAAATTGGATTCAGAAGCAATGTAGATTTGATTCGTGTTGTGGAAAAGTGGAACAGGGGCCAGATGTATGAATAAAATGTCTGCACAAAACATACATACAGCATTTCCCACACAGACTGGTGTTCATAAAATATTTTTTGGGTGAGAATGTGAAATGTGAATATGTTGCACAGATTTTAGACCAGCGTACACAGTTCTAGACAGCTGTACGTGATATGGTGATACACTGCTTGTTAGTTTTTATTTTATTTTACAGTTTCACTGATGTGATGCGTTCTATAAAATCAAAAAAGCACGTTTATAAATTCTTTTATGTGCCATATAAATTAAACCAGTTCCAGAATACAGATATTTAAAACTGAACCATGTATACATGCAAATTTATTAATCTGATAAAAAGAATGCTTATGCATATTTCCCAGTTTTTCCCTGAGTTTTCTTCACCTGGCCCCAGGTCTTTACCTTTGTAAGGGAGTACTGGAGTGGTCATGGGGGTTTCCCTTACCTGCTGTGAGCGACTATATGGGTTCCTTGTAAGACTAGAACAAGACTTTTTTTGTGCTTGAGTTCTTGGCACAAAGTTATGAGTACAATATTGATGTGACATTTAATAAAAAAACAGAAACATGACTAAAAAGCCTCAATGTTTAACTTGCCATATGACTTTTAACAAACAGCTGAATTCTGACCTGAGAGTTTCAAGTGTACAGTGTGGACTTTCCAGTCCGGCAGACAGCAGATTCAGTCCTGCATCCTGCAGGTCGTTGTTACTCAGATCCAGATCTTTCAGACTAGAAGACTGGAGGCTGAGAACTGAGGACAAAGCTTTACAGCTTCTCGCTGATATTTTACAGCCGCTAAACCTAAAAAAGGATTTACAGTTAGTTGATTCGTTGTTCAAACATCTTTATAAAAAACGTTTGCTAAATAAATATTAACAAATCCCAACCTGAGAGATTCCAGTGTTGAGAATGTACTCTCTAGTCCAGCAGACAAAAGCATCACTCCTGAATCTTGCAGATCATTGCTACTCAGGTCCAGCTCTCTCAGACTACAACATTCAGAGGTGAGAGCTGAAGACAGAGCTTCACAGCTTTTCTCTGACAGTTTACAGCCAATCAGCCTGAAAAGGATTTTAGTCAGTACATTCAATAATTCATTTCAGTCATAAGTAAAAGCTCATCATTTTCAAATGAATCACTAACCTGAGATTTGCCAGTCTGCAGTGGAGGCTCTGTAGTCCAGCAGACAGCAGTTTCACTCCGGAATCCTGCAGGTTGCTGTTACTCAGGTCCAGCTCTCTCAGACTGGTGGACTGGGAGCTGAGAACTGAAGACAAAGCTTCACAGCTTTGCTCTGACAGTTTAAAGCCGCGCAACCTAAAAAATATTTTCAGTCAGTCCATTCAATAATTAATAGTCTATATAATGTAAATATCAGCGCAGTACAGAGTGTCATCATTTTCAAATAACTGGACACCAACCTGAGAGTTTCCAGTCTGCAGTGTGGACTCTTCAGTCCAGAAGAAAGTTGCTTCATTCCTAAACTTGGCAGGTTGTTATTACTCAGATCCAGCTCTCTCAGACTGGAGGACTGGGAGCTGAGGACTGAGGACAGAGCTTCACAGCTTCTCCCTGAGAGGTTACAGCCACTTAACCTAAAAAAGATTTTCAGTCAGTCCATTCAATAATTAATAGTCTATATAAAGTAAATATCAGCACAGAGGGTCATCATTTTCAAATAGCTGAAGACCAACCTGAGAACTGACAGTCTGCTGTGTGGACTCTTCAGTCCAGAAGAAAGCAGCTTCACTCCTGAATCCTGTAGGTTGTTTTTACTCAGATCCAGCTCTCTCAGACTAGAGGACTGGGAGCTCAGAACTGAGGACAGAGCTTCACAGCTTCTCACTGAGAGGTTACAGCCACTCAGCCTAAAGATTAATCGGCAATCCATGAGAGAAAATACAAACAATAATTTTCAGTATTTTTTCTATAAAGACAATCACAATTAAACTAAATAGTAGTGTGCACGTACAGAGCTTTGTTGGAGTCTTGGACCACTGGCACCAGCCTCAGAAGAGCCTCCTCTGAAGCAGAATATTTCTTCAGGTCAAACACGTCCAGATGTTTTTCTGATGACAGTAAGATGAAGACCAGAGCTGACAACTGAGCAGGAGAGATTTTAGCTGTGGAGAGACTTCCTGAACTCAATGACTGCTGAATCTCCTCTACTAGAGAACGGTCATTCAGTTCATTCAGACAGTGGAACAGATTGATGCTTCTCTCTACAGTCAAATTCTCATTGATCTTTTTCTTAATGTACTGGACCGTGTTCTGGTTGGTCTTTGAGCTACTTCCTGTGTGTATCAGCAGGCCTCGTAGTAGAGTCTGATTGGTCTCTACTGAAAGACCCAGGAGGAAGCGGAGGAACAAGTCCAGGTGTCCGTTTGGACTCTGTAAGGCCTTGTCCACAGCACTCTCATAGAAATCTGTAGATTTGCTTTCTGACACTTCCTTTGGCAGCAGATTGACACCAGAGTTGATGAAGGTCAGATGGACATGAAGAGCAGCCAGAAACTCCTGAACGCTCAGATGGACGAAGCAGAACACCTTGTCCTGGTACAGCCCTTTTTCCTCTTTAAAGATCTGTGTGAACACTCCTGAGTACACTGAGACTGCTCTGATATCGATGCCACACTCTGTCAGGTCTGATTCATAGAAGATCAGGTTGTCTTTCTGCAGCTGCTCAAAAGCCAGTTTTCCCAGAGACTCAATCATCTTCCTGCTCTCTGGACTCCAGTGCTGATCTGTCTCATCTCCTCCATCATACTTGACTTTCTTCAGTTTGGTCTGAACCACCAGGAAGTGGATGTACATCTCAGTCAGGGTCTTGGGCAGCTCTCCTCCCTCTCTGGTCTCCAACACCTCCTCCAGAACTGTAGCAGTGATCCAGCAGAAGACTGGGATGTGGCACATGATGTGGAGGCTTCGTGATGTCTTGATGTGGGAGATGATTCTGCTGGCCTGCTCCTCATCTCTGAACCTCTTCCTGAAGTACTCTTCCTTCTGTGGGTCAGTGAAACCTCTGACCTCTGTCATCATGTCAACATACTCAGGAGGGATCTGATTGGCTGCTGCAGGCCGTGTGGTTATCCAGAGGCGAGCAGAGGGAAGCAGGTTCCCCCTGATGAGGTTTGTCAGCAGCACATCCACTGAGGTGGACTCTGTAACATCAGTCAGGACCTCATTGTTGTGGAAGTCCAGAGGAAGTCGACACTCATCCAGACCGTCCAAGATGAACACAACCTGGAACTCTTCAAACCTGCAGATTCCTGCTTCTTTGGTTTCAGGAAAGAAGTGATGAACAAGTTCCACCAAGCTGCACTTTTTCTCTTTCAGCACATTCAGCTCTCTGAAAGTGAATGGAAATATGAACTGTATGTCCTGGTTGGCTTTGTCTTCAGCCCAGTCCAGAGTGAACTTCTGTGTTAAGACTGTTTTCCCAATGCCAGCCACTCCCTTTGTCATCACTGTTCGGATTGGTTCTTCTCTTCCAGGTGAGGGTTTAAAGATGTCTTCTTGTCTGATGGTTGTTTCTGGTTTTTCTGGTTTCCTGGATGCTGTTTCAATCTGTCTGACCTCATGTTCATCATTGACCTCTGCAGTCCCTCCCTCTGTGATGTAGAGCTCTGTGTAGATCTGGTTCAGAAAGGTTGGGTTTCCTGCTTTAGCAATCCCCTCAAACACACACTGGAACTTCTTCTTTAGGTTAGACTTGAGTCTACGTGGGTACACTGCAGCAATATTTCCTGAAAAAATGAACAAGATTCAGGATTTAATTAATTCTGTTGAAGTGTAACTGGAGAGACATTAAAACATAACATCACTGATAATTGGGAATTTTATTTATTATGGCTAGTGTACCCCTTTATCCTTCCCTAAACATAAGCTAAAACAATCCGTAGAACACACACACAAATACATGGCAAGGTCCTTAATGCTACTTGCCTACTTCAGGCATGAGTGAAACTGCAAAATCAGAATCAGAAGGAGCTTTAATGCCAAGTAGTGTTTTAGAGATACGAGGAGTTTGCTTTGGTGATAAGGTTCTACACATAGACAAACATCCAGTTGACATAAATAAATGTAGAAATATGGAATATACAATGAGGCGGCAATGTCGCCTCACAGCAAGAAGGTCGTGGGTTCAAACCCCGGTTGCCCCGGCCTTTCTGTGTGGAGTTTGCATGTTCTCCCCGTGTCTGCGTGGGTTCTCTCCGGGTGCTCCGGCTTCCTCCCAACATCCAAAGACATGCAGGCTAGGTTGATTGGTTACCCTAAATTGTCCTTAGGTGTGAGTGTGAGCATGAGTGGTTGTTTGTCTATGTATGACCCTGCGATGGACTGGGGAGTCACACAGGATGATGGGGGAGGGTGGGGCTGCACTCTTTCTAAAATCCACAATCATCTCTACTGTCTTCTGAGCGTTGAGTTCCAGACTGTTCTGGCTGCACCAGGTCACCAGATGGTCAATCTCCCACCTGTAGGCGGACTCATCCCCACCAGAGATGAGCCCAATGAGGGTGGTGTCATCTGCAAACTTCAGGAGCTGAACTGGTGACTGGAGGTTCAGCTGTTGGTGTACAGAGAGAAGAGGAATCAGAGACATGTTTTCCCAGCTTCATATGCTGCTTCCTGTCCGTCAGAAAGTCTGTGATCCACCTGCAGGTGGAGTAAGGCACGTTCAGCTGAGAGAGCTTGTCCTGCAGCAGGGCCGGGATGATGGTGTTGAAAGCAGAGCTGAAATCCACAAACAGGATCCTGGAGTAGATTACTGGGTCCAGGTGCTGGAGGATGTAGTTAAGGGCGATGTTTACTGCATCATCTACAGACCTGCTAGCTCTGTAGGCAAACTGCAGGGGGTCCAGGAGTGGGTATGTGATGGATTTAAGGTGGCACGACACAAGGCGTTCAAAGGACTTCATAACCACAGAGGTCAGGGCCACGGGCCTGTAGTGGTTTAGTCCTGTGGTCCTTGGTTTTTTGGAACAGGGATGAAGGGTGGAAGGGTAGACACAGCCCAGCCTAGCTGCTTTGAGGGGTTTCTTCCTCCTGAATAGCCTGTTGACTTCCTGATAGAGTGGGGAGACTTTGGTTTATATCTGTCTGAACCCCCTCCAGACAGAAGTGGCGTTGTTTGCTGAGAAACCGTTCTTTAGCCTCTCTGTATACAGCTGTTTAGCTTCTCGCACCTCCTTGCTAAACCTCTACTTTAACGCCCTGTACCCGGCTCAGTCCGACTCTTAAATGCCTCATCCTTTTCCAACCTTAGCTGTCTGAGTTTGGCTGTGAAGCGTGAAGCGTGTTGGTATCCAGGTGTTTCTCACAGAAGCTGATGTAGGACGTCACAGCCTCTGTAAGCTCTTCCAGATTGTTAGTAGCAGTCCTGAAAACATCCCAGTCAGTGCAGTCCAAACACGCCTGAAGATCTGAGTAATACCGGCTTGGACGGCTTGGATGTTGAAGAGATCTGCACAATGGCGTTTGTGCGTTTCTATCTCTTGGATATGTCGGGCTGCATGCATAGTGCAACCTAGGATCTGAAAAGTGAAGATCTGGTGACTACTGGGTATAGAGGGGGAACATATACTGGCAGTGCCTTATGTTCCAGTGAGAAGTCAGGGCAGTCCACGTGTTAATGGTCAGGTCAAGCCCCAAAAGGTCCAGCGACCTTGTCAGGGGTGTCCCGCCATTCTGTCACTAGGTGATGTGGTGGTTGGGGCTTTGGCCGGCCTGTGGTGACTGACCTGAGATTGAAGATTATGATGAAGCTGGACCAAGTAGAAAAATCTAGATCGCCAAAGCTGAGTGACAAAGTAGCCTCTGAAAATCTCTAAATACTATCTTTACTAAAACCATAACCGAGACCAATGAGCTGATATATGCCACAGTAACAGTGATCATAGAGATGCTTGGCTATAAGATGAACACCATAAGCCACAAAGAGCATTATCCCCCATGGAGGAGAAGGCTAGAGGCCAAGATCAAGGCAACACAGAGGTAGGTTAGTCAGCTCTCAGTGTTACTGAAACATGCAAGGAAGGAGCTACCTAAGAAATACAACAAGCCGTTTATACCTGACGCACCGGAGACTGCCAAACAAAGACTCACCGCTCTGGCTACCCGCATAAAGAGATTCAAAGGAGAAGCAAAAGCCAGGAGAATAAACCGGATATTCTTCACTGAACCATCCAAAGTGTACTCTCAGTGGCAGGGTAATAACACAAGATCAGATCCACCCGCGGCTGAGACTGAACAGTCCTGGAAGAACATATGGGAGAAGGAGACATGATACAACACAAATGCTCAATGCAGGGCCGGCCCGTGGCATAGGTGACATAGGTGGTCGCCTAGGGCACAAAATGTCTGGGGGCCCCGCAAGATTTTTAACTGCGTGAATCAACTCCGCCCAGCTGATGCAACACTGATAATTTTAATCATGTGCACATCGCACTGAGAGTCCAGACAGTAACGTAACTGGTAGAGTTTTGCAACATAAACGTCTTAAAACTGAAGTGCAGCATTCTGTTTTGGACTGTGAGCTGCACTTTATCGGAGCTGCTGAAGTTAACGTGTGGATTTGTGGTGAGATTTCTGCCTGAACAGTCGTGTTTTCGGTTGGTTTTGGTCTCACATGCAGCATGCGGTCCCAAACTGTGTCGGTCTAATGGTCTAACGTAATGCACAGCAGAGTAGAGGCCAAGTAGAATTAAAAATATTATGAATTCTCATTAAATGATGATGTTAGTCTCGTAATATTGAGATTTATTTCTGGACATGTCACAGAAAACTATGGGAGATTTTCTGAATGTGCATAAAGTTTTGAATATGAGCAGAAAACCTGCTGAAACACAGGAGCTATTAATGTCCAGGAGTTTATAAGTGAATGAAAATTTATTAATTTATCATTGATGTGAAGAGGTCCAATGTAGGAATATTAAAAGAGGTTATTTCCGCAAACGGAGACTCAAAAGAGAAGGGAAGGCTAAGCATGTGTACTGACTCAACAGGGATTTTATTAAATTAGAAAAGTTGAGCTACAGGATAAAACATAATAAGCAATTGCTGCTTAATGCCTGAAAGCCTTACTGCATTATATTCTATTAAATTTTAACATTTTGAATTCTCACCAACTGCCTGGATATTGTGTTCGCTTTATATAGATGGAGAGTACCCATAAACTGGTACAGAAATATTCAGAAGAATGCAAGAAATTAAGTCTTTAATGCTCAAAATTTCCCAGGGGAGACCAGACCCTCTTTATTTGTCCCTTCCACTGTTTAAACTAAACCAATGCTCTTACATTTCAGGAAAATTACCCCATAAATTTCCTAAAAACGCCAAATTTCAAATCTCGCATAGGGCTCCAACACTGTTAGAATTGGTCCTGCCTAAGTGGCTAGTGGATCTAAGAACAGGTCACAGCATTCTCTCCCAGAACAAGATCCAGTAACCATTACAATGGCAGACATCCAAGAAAGAGTGTCAGGTATGAAGAGCTGGACAGCTTCAGGTCCTGACATAATACATACCTACTGGTTGGAGAAACTACCTGCACTCGGTGAACACCTGGTAGCACAAATGAACCAACTGCTGATGGATGAGACACACACAGAATGGTTAACCCAAGGACGGACAGTCCTGATCATGAAGGATCGCCTGAAGGGAATAATCCCATCTAACTACGAGCCAATTACCTGCCTTTGCACAACATGGAAGGTCCTGTCAGGCATCCTAGAGGCTAAGATGAGTAGGCACATGGCTCAAAAATGAATAGAGCCCAGAAGGGAATGAGCAGTAATACCAGGGGAACCAAGCACCAGCTACTGGCCAATAGAGCAGTCAATTGAGACCAACCTGTGCACCACCTGGATTGACTACAAGAAAGCCTACGACTCAATGCCACATACATGGATACTGGAATGCTTGGAAATGTACAAGATCAACAGGACACTAATAGCCTTCATCAAGAACTCATTGGGGCTGTGGAAAACAAGTCTGGAAGCCAACTCAAAGCCAACTGCACAAGTCACAATTAAGTGCGGCATATACCAAGGTGATGCACTATCCCTGCTGCTGCTCTGCATAGGCCTGAACACCCTCACCCAGATCACAAAGAGTGGCTACAGATACCGGTTCCGAAGTGGAACAACCATCAGTCACCTCCTCAACATGGATGACATCAAGCTGTGTGCTAGGAATGAGCGAAACATTGACTCACTGATCCACACAACCAGGATCTACGCTACGACATTGGAATGTCATTCGAACTGTTAGTGTGGTCGGAGAGTATCAAAACAAGGAAAATTCAGAAATGAGGGTGTTGAACTACCAGAAGGCGACATTGCAGATGTTCAGGACAGCTACAAATACCTTGGAGTCCTGCAAGCTAACAGAAACAATGAGGAGACAGCAAGGAAGTCCGCCACAGCCAAATACCTACACAGAGTAAGGCAGGTTTTGCTGGTCAGCTGAATGGGAAGAACAAGATCCAAGCCATAAACACATACGCCAGTCAACAGATACCCTGCTAGTATATAAACTGGCCAAAAGAGGACATAGAGGGCACTGATATCAAGACAAGGAAGCTCCTCACAATGCATGGATTATTTCACCCCAAATCCAGCACCGCACCCTGAGACTGTACACTGAGGGGAGTGAGGGAGGCCGAGTGCTAGTCAGTGTCACACCACTGTCCAGGATGAAACAACAAAGATTACAGGATTACATCAGGAAGATGTCCCCCAAAGATGAAGGGCTAAAAGAATACTTCGGCAGGATGAGGACAAGAAGGAGAAAGAGCCTTCATGGAGGGACAAGCCACTGCACAGCATGTACCACAGACAGATACACTGCAAAAACTAAAATCTTAGTAAGATTAATTATCTTAATTGAAGGCAAAATACACTTGTTTTTTGTCTGACAAGATATTTCTTATCAGGCGGCTTTTATGTTAGAGAATTTCACTTTTTTTTGTCCTTAAGTAGCAAGTAAAATATTCTTGTTCTGTTGGCAGATAATTTGGCTTATTTTAAGTAATATTTCCCTTATTTTAATGCTTTTTCCCCTTGTTTTTGAGAGCTCACTTTTTGCGTGAAGGAGTTTCTGATATCAAGAAATCCTACCAGTGGCTCGAAAAGGCTGGACTAAAGTACTGATCATGGCGGCACAACAAACAGACACTCAGTACAAGATCAATAGAGGATGGGGTCTACCAGACTGTGCAAGGATGCCCCTGAAACAGCACTGCCATAACAGCAGGGTGTAAGATGCAGGCAGCGTACATGGAAAGCCATAACCAGGTAGCAGGCACAGTTTACAGGAAATCTGCCAGGAGTATGGGCTGGAAGTCCCAAGGTAAAAATGGAAGACACCTCCTTAGGTACTTGAGAATGACACTGAAAGGCACTGATTCAACTCTTCTTTATTCTGGAGGACACAGAGAGCTGTGTCTGACAGGGACATAACTCACCTTTTGGATCTTTTGTAGATAACTGGTTTCATTAAAGTCAGTCTCCCATGGATTCACATGTCATTATCTATCTGCAGTTAGACTTTCTTTTTACTGTACTCATCCACATTTATGCTGATGATCAGGGGGTGGACTGGCACAAGAATGCAGACTCAACCCCAGGCCACCTTGTTCACACAAACCACCAAACCGCAAATTTTTGTGGACTAACCTTTTTACTAACCTCACTAGATACAAGCTAGCCATGTTAACTAGCTGAGATAGCTCCCGTTCATTGTAATCATGTGTAACCTTACAACTACCGGCGCAAGATAAACTTTGTAACTGACATTACATTCTATCTAACTTAGTTAATATCTTCCGATAAACCTTAACTAAAGCTCGATACATAAAATACCACTATTGATTAGATTCACAAGAGATCAGCTAACGTGTTAAAATGTAAAAAAATGCTGTTATTTCATCAACTTACCGGCAAGCGTCCTTTGAAAACACTGAAAATGAATGGGGCTCAGTGCTGGAACTATTCAATGTTCGGATGCCCCCTGACATGCGTCACTAGTAGGGGTGAGACAAGACACTTAACCCACAAGATGTGATTCAAGATTAGGTTCACGAGATCGAGGGGGGACAAGATTTTAACACTATTTTTAAGAAATCTTTAAAGCTTAATTATATGAAAATTTTTTACAGCATTCTGATGATATATATATATAGAGATATATATATATATATATATATATATAGAGAGAGAGAGAGAGAGAGAGAGAGAGAGAGAGAGAGAGAGAAACCCAAAATTCAGGTGGCAGATTCAAACTCTATAGCCTAGCTATAACAGAATATGATACGGTGCAGCTCTCAGTCATTCTGTGTTGCTTTCAGATATATTTCTCCTGTAGAACAACTTTTCTCATGTAATATCATCCCAGCTGAGTCATGATCTAGTTTTCCCTCTTTGTTTTTGTTTGGGGAAGTAACTTCTTCAAATGTGATTGCGGCACCTTTTTACCTCAATGAAAAATTATTTTTAGGGCGGAGCTACCTTGTAATTGACAAGTTGTTAGCATGGCGACCTGTCAATCAGGATAGAGGCGACTCTTATCCGCTGCTCTGTATACATTTAACCAGCGCTACTGAAAAAGCTTATTAGCAGTTGGCTGTTCATTTTCTACTACTATTTGTTGCTAGCAAAAATTAGCATCCCGATGAATATCACAATTAACATATATTACAGATGCACCTAGATACCTAAGCTAGCTGGCTCTACCGTCATGGCCAAATATGGTCACGTCCAGTACCTGATTGCAAAAAATTAAGATGGCAACGGCCAAAATGCCAAACTCGTGGCTTTAAAACAGTAGTCCACAAACCAAGGGGTGACGTCACGTTGGCTACCTCCACTCCTTTTATACAGGCTGTGCTCTGGATGTAGCTATCACACACACACAAACTCGGAGTGAAGTCAGAGAGCAGATTAGCGGAGATTACAGAAATTAACGACAACTAAGCGTGTTACTGTAAGTGCAGCAAAACCAGTAGCACTGGTACTAGTAAAAAGCTAATACTTCATCAGTACACCTCTTTAATAAGCATAAACATTAAGCACAGACCTGAACAGCTTTGTTCACGCCCACCAGTGGTGTGGTCCTCAACCATGGTCTTACCCTCTGCATCACACACACTGTGCGTATCACTCTGACAGAACGCTGAGCAAAGAGAAATGGGAGACATCCTGCAGTTAAAAACAGACGAAGGAGCACAGGGAAGACCAAGAGGCTGCCAAGCAAATATCGTCAGTCCACCACAGACGAGGAAACACTTCTGGTGGAGTGCGCCCTGATGCGCCCCTCACACAGCCAATACGACAGACACTGCGCAGACAGGTGGGGACCCAGGGACCAATTATTTTAACAGATGCTGAGAGCGGCACCAAGCCGCCGTCTGCGCAACATGAAATGACAGGGCGCGCACCGGACAGAGAAGGTCAGACAATAGCATCTTCCTCTGTCCCTTGAGGAGGCGTGAGAAACCAGCCAGAGTAATCACCCTCGATCTGAAAGAGCTGGTGATATTCTTGTGCATGAAGGCAGGGTTAGGTAGAATCTCAGAGCTGGCGTCACCCTGGATCCTGAGGCACGATGGGGCCACAGAGAGGACTGCCAGATCGCTGATCCTCTTGGCAGATGTTAGCGCTGTAAGCAAGGTGGTTTTAGCTGGCTGGAAGGGGGCCCTGGTCAGGGCGCCAATTTCAACTGAGGGGTTGTGGGGCACCCTTCAAAAAACACTTCGCCAGTGGGTGAGCGAACATCGTCCTGTTGCTGAAAACTTCGTGGCAGGATGAAATGGCAGCAGTTTAGGTTTTCACCGCGCTGAAAGCCAACCCTCTGTCCATCAGAAGCTGAAGGAACAAAAGCACCGAGGCCAGGGGACAGGCCACAGGGTCCAAACCTTGAGCCACACCAGCGCTGGGATGCATCCCACTTCACGGTACAAAGACCAAGTGGACGCCGCTCTCACTCCCTGGATGGTGCGTACAACATCCTGCTGGAGACCTTGACCTTCCAAGCATTGCCTTTCAGCGGCTAGACCCATAGAGTCTGGCCCGGGAGTGGGTAATTCCTGAACGCCCCGCCTCCCTGGAAGAGAGCGTCCCCACGCCACGGCAAATTTCACGGCCAGCCCAACAGCAGCCGCAGCAGACAGGGAAACCTTGTCGCACCAGTGCGTTCTGGGGTATCCATCCCTGGACAGTGAAGATGCCAACTATCTAGACACCCTGTGTCCTTGTTCTGATTCATTGACTTTATTATTTATAAAGATTGAACATGTAAATTGATAACTGCTAATAAATGTAATTAAACATATGATTAAAGTTTTGTGTTGGAGTTTGTGTTATTCTTAATTTTGACACCAGAATTTTAATGTTTAATGCAAATGTATATCGGTTGCAACTATCAGTCATCGGTCTCCTTGATTAATAATAATCAGAATTGGCCCTGACAAAAATCCTACTGTATATTTTTTTTCCTCCAACAGTTTTACACAGCTCATCAGTGGAAGACAAACAGCCACTGATCTGATGCGTTTGAAATGTAAACCTTTCCCATGTTGCCTCCATTTCCTCTTTCCATCATGTTAAATCTGTTAAAATCTTACTGCTCCAAAGACGGTCAGCCAGCTCCTCCTGCTTCATCCTCCTCAGGAAGTCCAGTGCGATCTTTATAAAGACCTCTCTGCTCCTCTGCTCTTCATCCTCACTGTCCAACACCTCCTTATCCTCACTCAGACTCTCAAAGCATTCTGGGTAATCTGGACTCAGAATCCTCTGGACACTCTTCAGCTCGTTCTTTACAAAAGTGATGATCTTCTCCTCCAGCAGCTGGAACAGAAACATAAACTGAACATTAGATTTAAACTGCTAGAACACAACATGTGATTCATCTGTCAGTCTGCAGAGCAAAATGGAGACTGTTAGGATGTGAATGGTAGTTCAGCATTTCATCTGTGGTTGATAGTTGTAGTAAAATAGTGTGTTTGTAGATGAACACACCATAAATGTGGAGTTCAGGTCTGTTCGCTGCTGCTGGGCAGACTGATCACTGGGAACCTCTGAGCTCTTCTGCTGAAGTCTGTGGGGAAAAAAATAATTTTAAAACATTTTAAGGACTCAATATGACTTACTTCAGGTGGGGTTTGTTTTTTTGTGTTTGCTTGCTCACATTTCAACCTTCCAACCAGAAAACAGCTGTGCAGCCTAAATATATTTAAACTAATCACAATCATCTGAACAGTTTAGATCACTCTAGGTGTCATATGGTTGGAAAGAATAATCTGTGTGCAGATATAAATAAATTCAGGGAACACATTGATAAACTGTGCAGTCAGTTTACCATAACAATTTTAGAAAAATAGGAGCGCTTAGTTTAGATAAAAAATGCTATAGCCCATAGGAAAAAATCATCCCTGTTCATTCATCTGTTTGCTCAGTTTATCAAACCTGAGATCAATAACATCAGTTTTGAACCAGCAGGTGTACACTGTGATGTCACTGCTGAAACGGTCTACTGTTCAGTCCTACAACAGACTATGAAGCTCTGGACCAAGACGGGATTCCTCTTCCCCGGAGAGTAAGATAATGACAGTTCAGTTTTAAATTCTTACCTTCCATCAGCAGATTGTACATCTTTAAAGTCAAGAAGATGACCATTAGACCGGTCACTCTTCAGGGACACACAGCTGGGCGCAGGAGAGTCTGGTTTCTCTTGTTGTATCCTGATACAAAAAAATACAAATGACTACGAATGAAATGTTATTTAAAAGTGAATAAAACAGGTTTGACCAGATTCTCACAAGTTTGAATTCATGAATGTGCAGGATATTATTAATACTAAGTTTTGTCTTAAGTATTGATACTTAGAGCTGCAACGATTTAATTAATTAATTAATTATAATTATCAGATTTTCTGACAAAAGCAACATTTTGTAAGATGTATTTTTTGTGTGATTTGGTGCATCATAAGATGTGTGAGACTGTGTATGTGTGGTGGAAATAAATTTCCTAAAAAGGGAATATAGAAAATCTAATCTAATCTTACCGTTCCAGAGTGTAATTCACTGCTGTCAAAATAATGACAGCTGTACAAGTGCACATAATTACATTATGATCAAAAACTAGCAAGTGGACTATGGAAGATTTTATTGGACTTTAATATTTGTAGTTGCTGTCTCCTACAGATGAGCCTGGGTACTGCAGTGGATATTCTTACTTAACTCATGGGAGGCAATGTTGCTACCGCCACCTGCTGGTGTAGCTAATAAACTGCTCTCACATTTACAGATGTCTGTGGTACAGAGTGGACAAAATTTACAAAAGTTACAAATGTAACGTGATCTGCAAATTATGCAAAAACTGTTTGTTTGTAAAAATAGATCCACAAATGCGTTAATAACACTTTGTATGTGAAATTAAAATATGTGTGTACAGAGTAACTTGTACATATTTTTTTTGTTTTGTGGACATGAATACAAATGTAAAAATTCATGATTTGGGTAGTCAGATATTCGTTTATATATTTTTTTTACAGATACAGTACATATTGGACAAAATTCCACAAATGTGTAAAAAGGAAGTAGATATTGAAATATTTATGCATCATAGTACACATTTGTGGATTGTTTTCTGTGGGTTACAAATGTTAAAGTCCGATAAAATCTTCCATAGTAGACAACTTTGCTAACAACCAAACATCAAACACAACAATATCTGACACAGCTAGCAGCTAATATGTTATTACTGACTAGTCCAACAGAAAGAAGGGCTGCTCTGCGTTTGTCCTGCATCCTTTCAGCTCTGCTAGCTCACGCCAACCAGTAATAGCCAGCCCCCTATTTACTCTTGTCCGGTTCCTTTTTTCTCATCTTTGCTTCCTCCAACGCCTTCTTCGGTCTCTTCCGCCTCTGCCATGATGTCCATACTGAGAATACTGAGCTAGCTCACTCACACTGAACATTATAAATTTGCTAGCTTGCTAAAGAGTTTTGCTGAAGTGTTGAGATGCCGTAAAGCATTACAATGTTCTCGTAACAGAAATCCTGTCCAGGGTTCTTCCATAGAGCCAAAGAAAGCTGGAGCGGCAATGACAGACAACATTCACTCTGTTAGGGTAACTGTATTTTGAAGCAGTTATTTTAAGATAAAAAACTACATAATGTGAATATTTTCTACAGAACAGAACATTACGGACCAAACAACTACTTAACTGATTAATTGTTGAAATAATTGACAGAAATATCAGCAATGAAAAGCGCCTTTTCCAGCTCGCCTCGCCTCAACTCTACTCGCCTTTTTTTGGTTTTCCATTGTAGAAAAGTTGCACCTGTACCTGCTACCAGATACTTTTTTTCATATCACCCCTGTCGAGGTTCCAAGCGAGCTGAGGCGATACTAAAATGTAACGGGAAAACACAGCAGACTGCTGATTGGAGAGAACTGTCATTATTCACTGTGTCATCCTTGTTGGCCAGACAGAGGCCAGCAACAGAAAGTTTTATATTTTACAGTTTTCATACGTTATTTCATCACTAAATCCAATTCTAATAAGTGGGTCTGACGGAGGCTACCCTCACATGGGAAGCGCTCCTCCCATGTGGTTGCACTTCTGAGAGTTAGTTGAAGTGATGAGCTCATGCTAGCGTGCCGTCTTCGATATGATGCCGTCTGTGTGTGTCCACAATATTCAGCGTTTTACAGTTAATCCTATTTTCTTTTGTCATATTCCTCTTCTTGTCATGATCCTGTCTGTGTCTTGTTTGGGAGTCTGAGTTTAGTTGCATGTCCTTAGTTCATGTGTTGGTATTCATTCCTGGTCCTTGTTTGTATTATTGTGATTTGGTCTGCTCTGTATTCTGTGTCTTAGCTCCTCGTTCTGTGTCTCGGTTTATGTCTTAGTGTTTTGGGTTCTGTCCTGTGTCCAGTATCAGTTATATAGTCTGTTGTGTTTTGGGGTTCACTCATGTCCGTCTCTGTCTTGTCTGTCGTCTAGTGTTCGGTAACCCTTGTCATGTCTGTTACCCCAGTGATCCCTCTGCATGTCTGTCTCTGTTTTCCCCTGCTCTCTCTCTCCCTACCTGTGCCTCGTTAGCCTCATGTCTTTCACCTGTGTTGCTCCCGCCCTGCTCGTTAGTCCCTGTCTGTTTATATACCTGGTGTTTCTGTCTTGTCCTGGTTGGATCATTGTATGTTGTCACCCTGAGTTGCAGTGTGTGTTTCTTGTGTCGTCAGCTTCACTCGTCGTGTCTCCGTGTTTCCCTGCTCGTTTTGGTTTTCTGTTGGACAACCTTTGTTTTGGACTTAGTCTTTCAGCCAGTCAGTTTGTAAGTGTGCTCACCTTTTGTTTAATTAAAACCCTCAAACTATACCTGCTCCACTCTGTGTCCTGCGTTTGGGTCCTCCAACCTGCTTAACTCAGCCACCCATCGTAACACTTCTCAGGAGAGTCACATAATAACAGTTCAGTTTTAAAATTCTTACCTTCCATCAGCGGGTTGTCCAACCTTAAATTCATCAAAACGACCCATAGACTGGTCACTCTTCAGGGACACACAGCTGGGTTCAGGAGGGTCTGGTTTCTGTCGTTGCATCCTGATGAACAAACATTTGACTAATGAACGAGTTTAAACTTGAAAAAGATTTATTCTGACCAGTTTTTAGAAGCAGACAGAAAATCAGTAAGAAGACAGAGGATGAGTGAAAAATGAGAGATGCCATCTCATCTTAGTTGATTAGCTGAATATTCAGTCGCCGGAGTGTGTTCATTAGGAGAGATCGTAGTTGATTATTGGAAGCTGTTAATCAATAGCTCAGTGACAGATATAATAATAATCCTTATTTGTAGAGCACTTTTCAAAAACAAGTTACAAAGTGCTTTAACAAGTGTAAAGAATAATACAAAAAAAAGATAAGAGCATGAAAATTTATATAAAATTAGTAAAATACAATAAAATAAAAGGGATAAAATAAAGTGAAATAAGATCGGGAAAGGCTCTCCTATAAAAGTATGTTTTAAGAAGGGACTTAAAAGAGTTCACTGACTCAGCCGACCTGATTTCCTCGGGCAGGCTGTTCCAGAGCCTCGGGGCCCTGACAGCAAACACTCTGTCCCCTTTAGTTTTCAGTCGAGACTCTGGAACAGACAACAGACCTCTGCCCGAGGATCTCAAGGTACGTGCTGGTGCGTATGGGACTAAAAGGTCAGAAATATAACAAGGCGAAAGGCCATGAAGAGCTTTAAAAGTGATCAATAGAATTTTAAAGTCAATTCTAAAACATACTGGGAGCCAGTGTAATGAAGCTAAAATAGGAGTAATGTGGTCATATTTCTTTGTTCTGGTTAAAAGCCTGGCAGCTGAGTTCTGGACAGTCTGGAGTCGATCAATAGATTTTTGGGTTAAACAGGTGAAAAGGCTGTTGCAATAATCCAGGCGTGATGAGATGAAGGCGTGTAAAATGGTCTCGGTGTCCTTAAAAGTTAACATAGATCGAATTTTAGCTATATTTCTAAGTTGATAAAAACATGATTGAACAAGCTTTGTGGTGTGCTGCTCGAAATTTAAATTACTATCAAACCAAACACCAAGGTTCTTTGCCACAGGCTTAATGTGATTTACTAGGGTCCCAGCAGATGGCAAATCAAATACTGCCATCTGCTGGGACCCGATGACCAGGATTTCTGTTTTGTCTGAGTTCAGCTGGAGGAAATTATTTGACATCCATTTTTTAACCTCACAAAGGCAGTTGTTAAGTGAACTCAGCATTCCAGGGTCTGTGGATCTGACGGGCAAGTATATTTGTGTGTCATCAGCATAAATATGAAAAGAAATGCCATGTTTATGGATAATATGTCCAAGGGGAAGCAGATACAAGGAAAACAAAATGGGTCCTAAGACCGACCCCTGAGGCACACCATATTTAACTGGACAGAATGAAGAGACATAGTTGTTTACAGACACGCAAAACTTCCTATTTGACAGGTAGGATGAAAACCATTCTAGGGCAGTACCAGAGATCCCCACCCAGTGCCTCAGTCTGTCTAACATGATGTTGTGATCAATGGTGTCAAAAGCAGCGCTAAGGTCCAGGAGTACAAGGACTGAGCACATGCCTTCATCAGCAGACATTAAAAGGTCATTGGTGACTTTAAGCAGGGCAGTCTCAGTGCTGTGGTTCTTCCTAAAACCAGACTGAAACTTTTCAAATATTTTGTTATTTTCCAGCACAGTGAGCAGCTGTTTGGACACAATTCTTTCTAGAATCTTTGCAATAAAAGGCAGTTTTGAAATTGGTCTAAAATTTTGTGGGAGGGAGGGATCTAAACCAGGTTTCTTTAAAAGTGGGTTCACGCAAGCCGTTTTAAAATAATCAGGGACACAACCAGTAGATAGGGAGCTGTTGAAAACAGAGATCAAATGGGACCCAACAGAATCTATTACTTTTAGTAAATACTTTGTAGGTATTACATCAAGTGGGCCGGAGGACACACTCATTTGTGATATTGTTTTTAAAAGCTCAGACAAGTCGATGGGATAAAACTGGTTAACTGGTTAACTGGCTCTGCTTTCCTGCATTCCCTTTTTAGGCTGCGAATGCTGTCATTTATCCAGGGTTGCTTACTAGCTTTAGACGTAGGCCTAACCTTTAGAGGAGCAGTAATATTTAGTGACGACAAGCAGATATGATTGAAGTGATCAACCAGATTGTTGGTGTTGGAATCAGACAGGTGTTGGCTTTGGCTCTGAAAGACTGCGCAAAACTTTGAAACACTTTGTTCATTAAAGATGCGACAACACACGGAGCTTGGTGAGGCGGCATGAGTAACAGGCAAATCGCAGCTAAAAACAATACATCTGTGGTCAGATATGGTCATGTCCACTAATTCCACAGAGGAAATGCTGACACCCAGGGTAAAAACCAAGTCCAGTGTATGACCACGGTTATGTGTTTGCCCTTTGACATGTTGTTTGAAGTTAAAAGAAGTGGCCATATTTAAAAAGTCAGTTGCATTAACATTGGTGGGGTCATCAACATGAATATTAAAATCGCCACAAAGAACAATTCTGTCATAATTTAAAACCAGAGTAGATAAAAATTCAGGAAGTTCTGATAAAACTCCTCCAGGCGGTTTTGGGGGGTGATAAATTATAACAAATATGATAGGTTGCAGCCCTCCAACTTTAAGAGTGAGAACTTCAAAGGAGCTAAATTCATCACAGCGTACTTGATGACATTTAAAATTTTTCCTATACACGCTCACTAGCCCACCACCACGACCACTGACCCTCGGTTGACTAAAGCAATCATATTGAGGCGGAAACAGTTCAGCTAGCTGGCTATAGTCATTCATTTGCAACCAGGATTCAGTTAAAAACATAAAATCTAGATTTGCAGACAAGATAAAATCATTTAAGATAAAAGTCTTACTTGAAAGTGATCTCACATTGAAGAGAGCCATTTTAAATGAGTTTGTTCTGGGTGCTGGAGTTGGTGCAGTTGTCCTAATCCTTAAGAGATTACTAATATTTCTGTGTGGATGTGCACATTTCGGTTTACTGGTCTATGCGTGATGATGACAGGAATAGAAGTCTGTGGAACAGCGCTGGGAGCAGACGGCTTTACATGCCAGCAGGTGGAGACAGTTGTTTGTGGCAGTGAGGCAGAGATCTGTTCAGTGAGCGGTGGTGTGTCCAGGTGTGCTGCATGAATGATTAGTCATTCACGTAAGTCATGTGTGGACCGCACCACATGCTGTATGTGCGCAGCTAACATTTCTGAGCCCCGTTTGTTTGGGTGAAGTCCGTCTGTCTTAAAAAGAGACATTCTTTGCCAGAAAATATTAAAATTATCCACATAAAACACACGGTGAGCCCTGCAGGCGGACTGGAGCCAGTCGTGGAGGCCAAGGAGTCTACTGAAGCGGCCAGCACCGCGACCGACTGTGGGAATGGGACCAGAGATAAAAACGGACTTTCCGCACTGCTTTAAAAAGTTAAGAAGACGGTTAAAATCTAATTTTGTCAGCTCAGACTGTTGAAGAGCTGTGTCATTTGTTCCCACATGGACTATCACTCTTGTGATGGAGGACAGGAGCGACGGCATCAGGTCCTGGAGTTTTTTTTAAATGTCAGCCGTGGTGGCACCAGGGAAGCAGCGAGTGGTAGCGTTAAAGAAACGGAGGTTTCTGGTTATGGAGTCACCAATTATTAGTGTGGTTGGGGAGAAAAGAGGACGAGGAGATGCTGGTTGTGTGGATCCAGAGCAGGACTGAGCAGAATCTGCTTCAACACTGCGTGCGGACTGAGGATGGAGTGTGTGAGCTGTTGAGTGTTGTGTTGGAGTAGCAGTAACAGACCTGACAGAAGGGCTACCCGACGGTGCAGGGTAGAGACGGCCTCCGGAGCGTCTGAGCACAGCCTCCTTCAGGATCCTACGTCGGGAAGCGGAGGTTTTTGACCGGGATGACGGCCGCCGATCAGGCCCGGTGGCAGACCGGCGGCCCAGTGCAGGAGATGTAGCTGGTGGAGGAGATGCAACAGTGTCGGCAGGCACTGTGCGCCGAAAGAGATCCGTATCAGGGAGACTCGAAGCCGCAGGTGAATCCGCTGGATGGACCGGAGTGTCGTTAGACAAGGCTGCATAGCGGTTGGAGAGGCCGATGTCCGGAGGAGAGGCAGCCCCATCCGAGCCTCTCTTGCAGCCACGGACCACCACTTCAGCCCAGGTTGACTGATGCTTCGGAGTCGAGCAGGATGAAAGCCTGGGAAGACTAGAGGGGTCCCAAAACACGGTGTCCTGGATGTTAGCGGTTGCGCTAAGAGAAACAATCTGTTTGGCTTGTACTGAAGCTACATCCATAAAGCCAGTCAGCAGGGAATCTTTCTCTTTGAGTTCCTCTGAAAGTCGTCGGATGTCTTCCATAAGGTCAGCAATCTTCTTGTTCGCTTTCTTAAGGAGTGAGCAGTCCTCATGGGGCAGAGTTATCTCGGCTAGCATAGTCACCGGAGCTTTGTTGCGATCAGTAGCGTTGATCGCGTTTTTACGGTCATCTATCTTAAAATCCATGTCGGATGACTAAAATCCTTAACCCACGTAAAACTTAAATAAAGTTAAGTTAAATAAAAGGATATAAAAAATGTAACGAAAAAAGTGGATTAAAACTGGATAAGAGTCCGGTTCAAGACGGAGCTTCCGACAGGTGGCTACAGACGCCAACGCATGCGCAGAGTGCAGATTACGTCAGCGATCTTGTGACAAGATGATGCAAGTGCAATCAGGTGAGCAGGTGTGTCTGTGTAACACATGAGGAAAGTGACAAGTGACTGCAATAAACAGTTGTTGATTGAGGCTTTCAAACGGTGACTGCAATGATGTGATTTGAGTGAGCTCTGACATGGAGAAGAGTCGTGGATCTCACCTCTGAGCTTCCCGTTCCCCCTCCTCTCTGTCCTCAAACAGCAGGATTCAGATGTCCCCTAGCTTTTGCTCCACTGGGTGCATACTGTATCCTCCAATTTGCAGGTCTGTCCTCTTCAATTGGTCCAGTGCAGGAAGGCCAAACTGGACATCTTCTAGTGTGAACTTGATATAACTGTCCAGCCAGGAGCACCAACGAACCAGCGGTATCGACGATCCTAGCTAACGATCCCACAGAGGTTAAATAGCTGAGTTTCCCTGCCAGTCAGTCAGAACTGAAGTAGTCTCTTGGATGAGGGACGAAACGTCTTCTAGGTTTCTTCAACCAAGTCCAGTTGCCCGTGTCTTTAACCTTCTTTGGATTCATACATGCTCAACATCAGCAAAACTCAGGAGCTGATGGTTGATTTGAGGAGACAGAAAGTGAAAACACAATGATTACATCAAAGGATCTGAGGTGGAACAGCAACATCTAAACTCTTTCTAACATTTCGTCTCCAGTCATTGACAGAAATGGAGAGGACAAAACATGAGAAACACTTCTCAGCAGAACACAATGTAATTCAACAGCAAACTGCTGCCTCCAGAATGATCACCAAGCTCAACCGACACCTCGCCTCTCCACATTAATACATATATATATATATATAATATGTTTATTACACTATACAGAAAACTATGTTATTGTTTTATCACATATCTATATTAATACTGTGACGCCCCGTGGGGTCACGAGCGAGTGTGGCCTGTCTCTCTCTCTTGTGGAGGAGGGGCTGATTGTAGTGGCTCGGGCACCTGGGCTAATTGCCCTCCTAGAGTATTTGGGATTGTTTTCTCATTCGGCAAGGGGCTGCTGTCAAGACCAGGTCAGACCTCCCTGCGGGAGTTTGGTTTTCTTTGGTTGCGTTGTGGTATTTGTTTTGTTTGCATGCTACAACACCTCCACACATGCAACCATCATCCTGCACAGACACTACTGAAACCACAGTCTACATACCTCATACATAAATTATGTTAATTTGAAGTAACTATTGATTTGGCTTATTTTTGTTAAATAAACACATGTTAACCGTTTACCATGGTGTCTCCCTTTTGTTGTGGCCTTTTGAGCCAGGTCATAACAATACAAACAAACACTATGTACTTCATTATATTTTATTCTGGTGTAAACTGTGTATAGTAGATGGTATTATCATATTTCTCTTACAGGTTTGCAGGTAATCACGCCACTGTGTAACCTGAAACAGTACTGCAGAGGAACAACATTGGTCAAAGTCCTGTATGTATGTGTACTATGGGTTTTGTAATTTAAATGTTCTTTCATAGTTTCTATTTTAATTTCTGATTTTATTTCACTTTTACTTATGTTTTTATTTCTGACTCTTTGTCACAAGAATTAGCCTGATTTGTTAAATATTGATTTGTTGAACTGAAAGAAAAATACTCAGTAATGTTTCATGTGGACAGTCATATGTCCATAACAGTATATCTACACAGGAGCGTTTCAGCCACGTTTTTAAGTCTGTCTGATGTAACTTTATTTTATTAAACACAGCTGTCAACACGGGGCCCTGCTAGTGACCTTTACTCAACACTGTGCCTGAACGCATGACAGGCGGCTCCCCCGGGGGCCAGAAGGCCTCAAAAATAACAATCCTCTGAGCCATAACTCAGTCAAATCTGAACACACAGACATGAAACACATTAAATCATTATCTCTCTGTTCGTCATGAAGAAACGTCCAGAAATCCACTTAGAAATCTGAGAAAGATGCTGCAGAACCTGCCCGAGAATATTCATGTTTAAGTTTTGCTACCAGGAGCTGCTAACAGCTGATTCAGCTTACTGCTGATGGGAACAGTTTGATTAGATGTTAATAAATATAGGCAACAAAATGGCCTAGGTAACTGTTAGCACCGAGCTGAGCCCTTCAGCACAAACGTCTAAATTTTCAGCTTGGAAACAGAGAGCAGCTGAGAGGCTTTAAACTCTGAAAACTGTCACTTACCAAACCTTCAACATGGAGACAAGATCTGCATCACCACGAGGGACAGAGTGAAAGTTCACAAACGACTGAAACAACAGGAAATAACCACAGAGAGAGAGAGAGAGCAATATTTCCTGCTTCAGCGCACATATGAAGACTTTAGAACAAAGCCCTTTACTTAAACTGAATTATATACAGTAGACATACCACACACACACACACAAACACAGACTGTTGAATTTTATGTATTGTATTTTTTCTCATCTTATTATCCTTGAAACTTTGGCAATATTGTTCACCTGACATTCATGCCAATAAATTACACTGAATTAATTAATCACCAACCAGGTTAATTATATTAACATTGTCTATATCAACTTGATATATTTTAAAAATTGCAATTCTGAGGAATT